CGACTGATGGATAGCGGAATACCTGAAGAAAAAATACCTCAATATTTCTCAATATACGGGCTACGTAAATACGACCGACTGGGAGATCAGGTGGTTACTGAAATTATATATGTCCACAGTAAGATAATGATAGTTGATGATAGAGTGAGTGTAATAGGATCAGCTAATATCAATGACAGGAGTATGCTGGGTGACAGAGACTCAGAAATGTGTCTGATCATTGAAGACACTCAAATGGAGCCAGGGACTATGAACGGAGAGGAGTTTGAGGTCGGAAAGTTCTCTCATAGTCTTCGTTGTCATCTTTTCCGTGAGCACCTCACCCTCCTTGATGATGAGGAGTATTCTGCTTCTGATATTAAAGTTGAAGACCCTGTCTTGCCATCTTTCTTTACAAAGTTGCAAAAAATAGCCTCGGCAAACACTAAAATTTATGAGGAAGTTTTTGGAGGGAAAGTGGAGCAGAAGAATGACATTCATACACTTGATGATCTTAAAAAATGGCAAAAGGTTCTTGGATTAATAGAAACTGATAGAGCAGCTGCTGAAAAAAAATTGAAAGATATTGTTGGAAGTTTCGTTGCTTATCCTGCACTGTTCTTAAAGGGCAACTTAAAAATATCGTTATTTGATAAATTTTTTCATTTGACTGTGGGGATAACTAATCCAGATAACACTTTTGCTTGAGACTTTACTAATTTAGACATACAATGTACATGTACATACATAGCTACATTAGTATTTTAGGATTTTCTAGTTTATTTTTAAATTCATTGCAATTAATTTTTTTGCTCAGATATGAACAAAAAGTCAATAAATGTAATCAATTTCATGTACATGAATTTTTTTGCACTATTTCTGAACCTTGCTAAATACAAATGCTATGTAAAGGCAACCTCAATGGCTTAATACAAAAAAATACTGTTGCTAATGACTTGGGTATTTGAAGCCAATTCCCAAAAATGGCTCTCAAAATACTTCCTGATTGACACTTTATTATTGATTCTTTAATTTTAAACAACCAACCACAATCTTTTCGATCATTTTCAACGATCACAGCCTCTATAATTCAACAGATTACAACACTTCTGAGGAGTAATCACTCATGTCAAGAAGTGTATATAGCTTAACTACTAATTTTTGCTGAAATATAATGCATAAAAAAGTCAACAAAATTAAATCATGGTCAAGGGGCTAAATAAC